ACTTAACAAATTTATTAATCATTAAGTTGTCTAGAGGTATATTATCAAATTAAATTAAATTAATCACAGTAATCAAAATAATATCACTTCTCTCAAGTACAATACTATTGTGCTGAAAGCACATATCACATTTATAATTCTTAAGTACCGTCTGGTACATCAACATTTAATAAGATATTACAAATATGTACAAGTTTGTGTGTATGAGTGTAAGTGCTCTAAGTAGTTCGTTATGTCTCAAGACTCGACTAGACTTAAACAAGTGACTGACAAAGTCCTCAAATAAACTAACTTCTTGACCAACTGGCAACCAGAACAGTCTGCTTGAACAACAAAAAGAATGCTAAGCCCAATAGCAATACAACAAGCAACTGCGACACAATCAGGATCAAGGAGATAATATAACGACACTAAGTAGGGACTATCAGCAGATCCTCCACAAAAGTTACCAAACTCCTATACTACTGAATCTAAGTTCAGCATAAGAAAATCCCCGACTGTGATAATACACAGAAACCAGTACAAATTAAGTGAGAAGTTACAGCTCAGGACCTGAGATGTTTCGAGTGTCTATGTGACACACAACCTCAGTACAACATCGAAAATCACGAAGTCTATACAATGTTCTGTGAACAGAGTTCTACAGAACTAACAAGAATAATGAGACAGACAATCTGTCCGACCACCAAGAGAGTCTAGAGCAGGCTGAATACTTTAGGCGAGGTGAGGACACCCCTCCCTCGATCACGTGATAGCTACGTGGACAACTGCAGCTCAGAAGCCGGCAGTCTAATGAGCTACAAGCGATAATTACAGTAGTTTGACAATCAAGACTTGAACTGAGCACTTAACATGTTACATCCTAACAACATAAGTCAAATAATAATATAAAGCAATATATTTACGATTTAGCTATTATCGCAAAAATAAGCAATATAAAATTATATGAAAAGGTAATATACATTATATATATACATAATAATCATTGCAACCCATTCAGGGGTTGCAACACCCCCCCCCAAACACGACAGACGGTCGCACTAGGAGTTGCATTAATGTCTTTCACCTTATTACTGATTACTCATATCAATACAATTTAATATAAATATTAATCAGTCTCTCTCTTGTGCCAAGCACCTCTACAATTTCACAGCGTCCGTCACTAGGATATGCCCCTAGTACTAGGGCAGTACACAGTATCGTATCTCCACATACTCGTGCTTATGTACATCAGTGTAGAAACAGGATAGTGTAGATGAGCCTTACACGATGAGGCTCGATCATAGTAGAGGAGACTGTATTCCACTCTTAAGTAGTGGTTGTGGAATGTGACGCAGTATGAACATCTGAGTATGAAACAGCTTAAGGTGTGTGGTGAGGGGGGGGTCTGCGACAGGACAGTGTTGCGTCACGCAGTACATCGCCCACACGACACTACCCACTCAACACTCAGTTATGTTCCTTACACAAAATTTACTGTGAATATTAAATATAATAATTGACATGAGTATGTATAGTTAATATGGGCTGGAGGGATTAAGTTACTTTACTGAATTTGACATAGCAAGTAACAAAAGGTATTTGGGCATAAAATTACGTTAATTTAATGCAACTGATAATTTTTTTTTTTTATTTTATTTAAAAACTTTACACCCTTGATATTAAATTAAGATTTTAAAATGGATACAGTAGGACCCTTAATCCTACACAACATACACTAACCAATTATTAAAAAACACATTGTAATTGACATAAAAGAGGTTACCCATATACACACAAAATTTTCCATATAACTACTATGATAAAAAAAAAATAGACTATAACTATATAAACTATATAAAATATAACTATATACAAACTTTCGATTTGTATAGTTAACATACTATGACGGACTTTATGACAAAGGTTCACAACCTTCACAGGAGATAAAAGAGTTAATAACCTTACACCCCAATCTCAGTTAAAAAACAATCACATGCTCTTCCCAAAATTAACCCATACAATAAGAAGAAACCTAAGCACATACATACGTGCCTCACTAAAAATCTCTTTTCAAGCATTGAAAAAAAAAAAATCAAACCCTAATCAAAAATCAAATCCAAAGCCTCACACTTATACTAAATAAATATTAACAAATATTATTTAAATATTAATACAGCCTCTTCCACCGGCTGAGCACATTATATAAAGTAAGAGACTAACCCATACTGTCCCATTAAAAAATTTTAAGAGGCATTACAAATTTAGGGAAAGTCATTATCGTTCCATCTAGCAAAAATGGATGAGCACTTTTATATAATGCTAAAATAAAGACATTTACACTCGCTAAAAACCCACTACACTCAACACAAACAAAATTTAAAAACCTCTCATTGCGATACAATTATCGCACATGAAATTATGCCCAATAAAGGCATAAACACACGCTCTACATAAGCCCTAAAGCTCTTCACGGTCTTAAAACTATAATTTGACACATTCACACTTAATACATGAAAAAGGTCATGACGACCCTGACACATCAAACACAGAATTCTCCATTCAGGTACAAAGTAATTACTTGATATCACCTTTGGTTTCTGTGCCCACTTGCATGCTACATACAGTATGCCACTCATCTACACCTTCATATCCCCACATTACACCTTACTCACACCCCTCCCAGGAGGCGACCCGCTGTGTCCCCCTGAAAACCCCCCTTCCCGTATGAAATCCAACCCCCCCTTATCACTCAGCCCCAGTCGTAGATTGATGGGGAAAACCAAACGTTAAACCCATTCTATACCCTTCCGAAAAACCCTTCTCCCACCTCCTCCCATACAGTTCTTTTATTACAAAAACCCCTACAAAAAAACCGTTACCGCTAGTACCGTCTCCGCACCTCACAATTCCCCCTCCCCCTCATCACCCACGTTTTATATATTATAATCCACTATATATATAATCCAAAGCTCTTAAAAACACTCTCATCGAACCCTCCCACATCTAGGCTTAGTGCACGCAAAACCCGACACCCCTCTGCCCCCCCTCCCTGTACTACCCTAGTTAACCAATACCTAACACCCTCCATTCCCCACAAAAGTATACTGCATGGAATGCCGTCTCATCCTCCCACAGATTCCTCACCTTCCGCCCACAATTACCCCTCTGTTTTTTAAAACCTCCCCCGCGGTAGTATGCCATGCAAAAAACGATACATTACCTCCCTTCCCCTGGGCTTTACTTCAACCTGCTAAACCTATCCCAAATACTGTCCATGCGTACATGGGGAAAACAATCCTCACTGGTACAACAACCCTGTCTGAAAGCAGCTTAACAAAAACCCCTACTCGAATTTTCCTGGGTTCTCTAACCAAACATCAAAGCCCTCAAAATAGTTTCACATTCCCTCAACTCCACACCACCATACAACTTACCCAACCCTATCATGTATTTTCCCAGCTCCCCTCCACTCACACCTTCGCGCAAAACCTCCCATTTAAGAAAACACAATTTAATCCTCCCCCCTCAGATCCATCAACCCCAACCCACCTGGCGCAAGGTAACATTACAACCTCTTTTCCTCACCCAATCGCACCTTGAACCCCACAAAAGTTAAACACTCGTCTCAGA